TAACGGTGTCATGTAGTTCTTCTCTTCATTAGACGAGACATATCCTGCAACCCTTCTTCATATGTTTCAGTCACCACTCTCCTAACCAGATAATAATAACTGGATAATATAATAATCAGATAAGACCTGCAGGGTGTCTATAAAACCCACTCCCACCTCCATTTTAGTATATCCAAGCTCACACCCATATAATGAGCAGGAAGAAAAATGATTCTTCACAAATGACATTCAAATTATTTCTTTAATAAAATACCACATCAAATTATATAGAATAACATCTGAATAGGAAAGCATGGTCTGGATTTTGTATGCACATCAAGAGGGATGTTGCAAAGATTCTGCAGCATGATTTCATGTTGTGCTTAAAAGCTGGGGTACAGCATTTTAATATTTTGCTTACGAGGACCTAAATAGACTCACTCTTTCTGAGTCACAATAAAGTTTCTTGCAACATGAACATTATTCTTCACGTTAGAAATGATGTTACAAATCTACAGAGACCACAAGAATAATCACAATGTTTGTTTATAGACCACTTAACAGAAAAAAAAGATTAACACTTGACTTTATGGTACATTAGAATTTATTCATGTTTTACCAATAGTAATGTTTTTTTCTTTGTTATATTGGATTGTGTGTATGTGCTTATTCCTAAACACTAATAAAATATTAATTGATCAGAGATATCATAAAAACAGAACTGGAAAGCTCTTGTTGACCATGAGGTCCAACCTTCTGCTGAGTTCAGGAGATCCAGAGCTACAGCATCCTTAAGTATTGGGCCAGCATATGTTTGAAAACCTCCAATTGAGGAGAAGCTGCTTTCTGTCTCCATAATTGATTTAGTTTTGAACTGCTTTTATCACTGAGGCATTTATCTTGATTTTTAAGCAAAGCCTACTTTCTTCAAGAATTATCTTTGAGGATTTGTTCACTGCCTTCTTTCAATATGGCTCATCCTGCGTTTGTACTGGCACAGTAAATTATGCTGAAATCTTTCCTGTCTTTAACTCAATACAAAGCACTCAAATGAAAGCCACATGGAATATATATTACAAATTCCCATTGAATTTCATTCTTCCCATCAGTTAACACTGAGGTAAAATTGAATGACAAAACTTCACCCAGACTTGAATGTGGATAATTTATTCCAACGGCAAATTGTAATCAAGTGTCTGCTCTCCAGAGATTTGATCCTCAGAAGAAGCAATGGCAAAAACAGCAGCTTATAGGCAAATATGGTCCAAGGATTGTTTCAAGAAAGTAAGACAATGTTGGAAAACTTGTGGTTCAGGATAATCAGTCATTCCCACAGCCCCAGCCAATGTGGCAGAGAATCAAGAATGCTGCCATTGTCCTAGAGCCTCTGGTTTATGCAAAGGCTACCTTGGAATAGATTGAATGGACACCAGAGATAGCATGGGGTCATGCCAACTAGCTATTCCTCCATTTATTTTCATGTAACTTTTGAAATAACAGCACAT